GACAGGTGGCCTCACGGTGAACTTGCTTTATACTCAGCGCGGTAATTAAGGTGATCCAACAGTGGTTTTTACTGTGAACAGAGATATGTATTTAGTCTTCCTAGTTCCCTCTTAAATTTGTTCCTTTGAAAGGTGCTACCAGAGTTTCATTTTCCAAAACCCCAGGCTGGCTTTTGAGTAGCCCTGGGCTCTGCAGGTGCAGGGTGTCGCTGGATCCGCTTTTTGAGGGGGCTGAGACTGCTTTAGCCTTTCTGTTGCTGAGGGTTTCTTGGTGGGAAAGGGGAAGGAAAACCGGGAGAAGGTTGGCCAGTACAGCTCCTCCTTGGAGGAGAGAGTCAGCTGTGCACTAGTGTAGAGCTCCCCCAGGGCAGATCCTCACATGGACACCCACAGCGGGGGCCTGATAAATATTGGATGAGACATGCTGAGCTGGGTGCTGGGATCCCGCGGCTGGAGGGATGAACTCAGGCTTTGAAAGGAAGGCATTGTCTCTGAGCAGAGCCTGTTGGCTGTCAGGGTTCCCGAAATGGGCATTCAGCTACCTTGAGGTCAGATTTGAAGCTCTGGTTGGAAGGGAAAAAGGAGCCAGTGAGAGACGGCTCGCGCTGGGAAACTGATGACTTGCGTCATGTGGCCACTGCTGGGAGGCCACCGCAGCAGAACTGGCTCCCAGAGGCCACGTTCTCAGAGCACACCTTGGCTCAGGCCAGTTCACTTCTCTTTGAATTCATGTGCAAAACATTTGGCCTACTGTTAGAGCTTTGGAATAAAATAAAGTTACGGTTGTCTGATGACCGAACGGAACAAACTGCATTCCTGTGACAGTACTTTCTCTGGCTTGTCATGTGGCAGCCCTACCTGGAGACACAGTGCTGGACACGGCAGAGTCTACAATGCCACTGGCAGTTATTACTTTCAAAGCATCACAGTTTAAAAATTATTTTATATAATTTTTGTAGAGTTAAAAAGATAGGCACAGGTGTGGTACATTCAGAAGGTACCCAGGCACGGACAGCTCCTTCTCAGTCCCCCTTCCAGTTACATCAGCTGCCACCCCCTTCCCAGCAATGGTCCAACATGGGCGTGGTGGTAGATAAGTTCTAACATCATTGTTAATGTTTCCTTAGCAGTGCTATAGTGGACAGTCTTACACAGAGGTGCAAACAAGACCTGATTGTATATTTTTAATTAATTACCAAAATTCCTTAGCTGTAAGTTTTACGTGAGAACAGTTTTATTCCCTTAAGTGCTGTGATTAGCTCTGTAAGTACATAGGACCAAAGAACATTATTTAAATAGGCAGTAGGTATTTAGAAATCAGCCTTTCGAGACTGATCAGTGAAATTATGCATGTACCAGCCTATAACAAACTTAAGGCAAATTATCTAGCTTAGTTGAAACCAGAGAGCTTGGAGAGGTCCAGGGTACTGGAAAGTTGGAGGGTCTGTGTCACCTTTCTGAAATGTGAGCTTCCAGGACCGCGTTCAGTGTGGTGGAGATGGTAGTGCTTAGGATCCTTTACTTGGTGCTCACCTGTGAATGGGGGAAAGCAGATAGTGAGGGTTTCCCTTAACAGTAGCACACTGAGACACTTGAGATTTCTCCCTCTGCCTCTAGTGGCTGTGTTCCCAGGCATGATGCAGTGGGCAAGGGAGACACAGTGGCCAGAAGGGGCATCGCGCTGCTTGCTGGGTGGATTTTGCTTCACACTTTGACACCTGCTGGGCCAGGGCCATGTCCGGCTACCCTGTCTTTGCATCTCAGTTAGTCCTGCTGGCAGCTCTTGCCATCTGATCACTCGCGAGTCATTTTAGGAGGGTGCCCCAGAGCAGTGGCTTTCTGATCTTAGGTGGGAGGGGCTTGAGATCACAGTGTGGCTGGAAGGGCTGGAGTGCTCCGAGGTGCGTCCTGTCCCTGCTGGAAGTCCACTGAGGGCAGCTGCTTCCCCTGGGCAGAGGCTTCGAGCCTCGTTTTGTCTTGTTTACACTTGGAGTCTTGAGATCTCATGCACTGGTGGGTGCCGCCCTAGGTGCGGGGGGCAGGAGTGAGTGTGATGAGGGTAGTTACTGTCCATGTGGTGTTCCCTTTTGGGGCGCAGGAGAATGCCCAGGAGATACTAGCGCTGAGGCCCTGAAGGGCCAGTGGAGCAGGGAGGTGGAGGAGGTTCAGCAGCTGGTGGGGGGCGCAGGATGTGAGCCGCCTGTGGCCTGGCGCAGAGGAGACTCTGGGCAAAGCCTCGACATGTGCTGGTTACCAGGGAGGCCACTGCCGCAGGAGCGGCAGGAGGGGGTGAGGGCTGCGGCGAGATGCAGCCACAGGCTGTGGCCAGGGATTTAGGTTTAATCCAGTGTGATGGAAGGCCTGGGGAGACGGGCCTGCCTGCATTTCTCCTTCCTCCCTTTCAGGGAGTTGTGGGCAAGGGAAGGACAGGGTCTGGCTGTCATCTCAACTATCTCTCCAGCTTTTGGGTTATTGGGAGCTTGAGATTGATGTGCCCGTATGTGTAGTAATTCATTTAATTCTCCCGACAGTCCAAAGGGAGGACATTATTGGTATTCCCATGGTACAGGTGAGACACCTAGGCACAGAGCAGTGAAGTCATTTACTCAAGGTCACATAGCAAGATGCACAAGCAGATTGTGTCCCTCTCCTCCTGAGTCGGCTCTTCCCACCGGCACTGCTGCAAGCTGGGAGATCAGTGAAGAGACCCTGGTGGAAGCCAGGTGACTTGGCTAGTGCCTCGGCCAGGTGGGGTGGTGAGATCAGAGTCCTGACTGTGTTTCAGCCCACGTAAGAGGCCATCGTTTGTAAGTTGCATTGTTGTCTTTATGCTACTAACAAGGGAAGTGTTGCCAATTAGAGGGTGACACAATGCTTTCCTGTCACTTGGCATTCGTTCACACTCATCAAGGAGCCAGACCTTTACAGTGGCATCACTTTGTTTTGCTTTCATGATAAAGGGGAATGTAAGTAAAGCACAATGAAGTCACCGTGACTTGCCTTCATGCCTGCAGTCTGGTTCCTCTTCATCGGCTCTCAGGGGTGCTGTGCACTAGTGCCCTGGAGGTCCGGGAGGGCTGGTTTCTGGGTGGGGTTGGGTCTTGGGGCTGGACAGTGAAGGCTGAGGCTGCTTGAGGAGGCTCTGCCCAGCAGTCACCTGTTCCAGGTGGGGTCATGGTCCCACCACCTACAGGATGTGTGTCCTGGGTGGCTGCTGGAGGCTCCTGTGCTGCGGTTTCATGCATGGGTCAGGGAGGAGAGCAGCAACTTGTGTCTCGCAGAGCTGTGGAGTCGATGGACTGAGCTAGCGCAGAGTGCCGGAAATAGTACCTGACTAGCAGCAGTTGAGAGGGTTTGCTTGCTTATTATTTTTATGATTAGTCATCAGAGTGGAGAGGTTAGCGTCTGGATGGAACTCAAGGTCGGGTGCAAGAAGAAGCCGGGCCACGGGTGTATATGTGCGTCTTTCTGCACATTGCTGGTAGCTGAGAGAGACCGTAGGCTGGGCGGAACATGGGGACTGTCGCGGGGACTGTCGGGGTGGGGGGTGTCTAGCAATGCTGGAGAAGAGGCCTGCAGGAGGTCCTGAGGCCTGGAATCCAGAAATGGGGGCTGGTTCTTCATTCTGAGGAGGGGCTGGAGAATCTCCCCTTGGAGTCGACCTTGGCTGGTTCCTGCAGGGTGGAGAGAGAACAGTGGGGGTGCTGCTTCAGGGCAGACAGGGAGCAGCCTGGGGGACTGCAGCTGGAGGGAGTCTGGTTAGTGGCAGTAGTGGCTGCACATTCCTAGGCCAGTGGGGCTGATCTCCCTGCAGAAGATGTGTGGAAATGGAATTTCTCTTTATTAAAGCAGTTCCCTCGTTTCTACGTTTCCCTAGTGTCTGGGGACACTGGCACCTTTATTCACCTGGTCTACACTGCTCAGAGGTCCCGAAGACCCCGTCCCAGAGTTCTGGAGGGAGACTCCAGTTGTGCACTTGGGAGGGCAGGCCTGAGGTGCTGGTGCGCTCTGCCTGGTGGGCTGCCTGAGCTCCATTGTGGTCTGCAGCGTGTTGGTTGTTCAGGTCTGGGGTCCCGAGGTGCCCGTGGGACCAGGAGGGCCAGAAGTCGGAGCTGTTGTCTGTCAGTGCCGAGTGCCTCCTGGCTCGGGGAGCTCTGAGGCCCCCACCCCTGGCTCTAGGTGCAGGCTTTCCTGGGAGCCTTCTCTGAGTGTCCTCTGTGACGGTACCAGGGACGGGAGGAGGAGGGCGCTGTCTGTGGACTAACTCTGGGAGGCAGTCCGGCAGGGTGCCTTGACACCCTGGAATCACCCTACCTGTGGCACAGCTAGAGTGAGTTAGAGGAAGTGCAGCTGCGGTGGGTGCGTTGCAAGGTGGCCACTCTGCAAGGCGGGTGTCCCCAAGGCCAGTGTGTGCTAGGCCTACGGGGTGAGGACTGCGTCAGGGAGGACACAGCACCTCTGGGTAAAGGAGCCGTGTGGGGGCGCTGCTGGAGTTGTGGAGGGAGCCGGACCCCCATCCAGGCCGTGGGGCTAGAGGGCCGTGTGCACCAGGTGTCTGTGCGGGGATCTTACGCAGGGAGGCAGGAGAGAGAACAGCGTCCCCGAGGTGCTGGCTGGGGTTTTGTGGTAACGGGGGGCCACACAGGGTGGCGGTGGAGCTGGGGGAAAGGAGAGGTGTGCACTGGGGTTGGGGGGCTGGGGGACCGAGTAGGAAGCACACCCCAGGCTCAGTTTCCATTGCTGGACACTCAGCGTGATCACTTATGTGACCTCAGAAGGTGGCAGTGTCTCCCCACAGACAGCCCAGCCTCTTTTTAGCCAGTTCAGTGCTGACACCGTCTACCTGGGGACCATGACCTGTCCCTTGGGTTAAGCACTTGGCCCCTAGGCACCCCTGCTTCAACCCCAGTTGCAAATCCAGGCCTCCAGAACTCTGACCCTGGTGTAGACCGGGTTCCTGTGACACCTCCTCAGGGTTCAGTTCATTCTAGAGCAACTGGTAAGGCTCAGGGAAACATTGTATTTACCGGTTGTTCTAAGGGATACAGATAAGCAGCTGCACAGAGATCCTAACAGGGTCGGGTCTGGCAGGGTCTGGCAGGGTCGCGAGTCAGGAGCTTGCATCCCCGAAGAGCTGGGTGCGCCCCTCCTGGCGTGTGGGTGGCTTCCACACTCAGCTGTACAGCGGTCTGGAGCCATGTCCTGTGGGGTTTTGTGGGGCCTTTGCTGTGTGGGCACAGCTGCTGGTGGACGTGGTGGAGAACTGGCCAGGGCTGCCGGGCAGTCTGCTTGGCCTCTGTGTTGTGTGCTTCCCTCTGAAGTGGGGTCTTGCAGGGTGAGCGAAGGGTGGGGAGCCGGGGGACGTGTGACCCGCCTTGGGCTTCTTGGGCAGGGAGTGATGACGCAGGAGCTGTGGGAGAAAGCCAGTCCACGTTGTTGACACGTGGGTCATAATTTTGCAGGATCACGAAGGCTCTCAGAGCTCTGGTGGGTGCGAGGTGGCTCAGGCCCAGGGTGTGGGCGAAGAGCCCTCCCGTGTCCAGGGTGGGTTGCCCTCTAGCGCCTGAGGAGCGTGCTGCCTGCTGGTGGTCTGTGCGCCGTAGGCCAGCGTCCGGCTCTGGTTCAGCAGCACTGGCTCCTCCTGGGGTCGGTCACTCCTCACGGTCCCCGGTGAAGGTCTCATTGGCATGGTTTTCGGGTGAGGAATTGGGAGCCCACAGGCTCAGGATCTGGGAAGCCGGATGGTGGTCAGCCAGTTAAGTGAGTTTAATCTCCTTGGAGTCTCGAGGGGCTCTCTGGAGGCCGCCATTCTGGGAACCGCCACCCTCCCTTTCCCTGTGAGCAGCTCTGGGCCTCCCCTGGGCAGCGCCTGCCGGTCTCCTTTCTTCTGCTCTGGGCCTTCCTGTCTTGATCCTGGCCAGATCGGATCCTGTGGAGCAGACACACCCTGTCACTCTCCTGCTCCAGCCCGGCACTGCCTGCCCCCCTCCCCCTGCCACCCCTTCCCCAGCCTGGGCGTTGGCTCCTGCTCTCTGGGGCTCAGGGTCAGCCGGCCTCATTTCTCCACATACCCTTGTCCTCCCAGTGCCCTCTGGGGACCAGTCCCTCTGGTTATCTTCACCATCTCTCCTCACCACCCCTCCGCCCTCCCTGCACTGATGGTGGTGGGGACAGAGGTCTCTGGAGGGCAGGGTAGGTGCCCTGAAGCTCTTCTGCAGCCTTAGGACAGTGCCCGGCCTAGGCAGGTGCTCATGGACACTTTTGCTGGGGAGTGGGTGGCTCTGCTTTCCTGTGGGGGTGGGGCTGGAACCTGAGTCGGCTGCCTCTGAACGCAGGCCTTCCCCCGCCCACGCTGCCCCCAGGTCCTCCTGTGCCTGGTGAATCAGTCCTATATTTATGCCCATATGTCTGTGTTATCTCCAGACTTCCTTGCTTTTCTTCGTAGAACAGAAACATTTACAAAACATCCAGAATTGTTACAAAACCACAGAAGTGCAATATAGTAAATTTATCTGTTGAAAACGGGAGCTCATGTCCTGAAAAACCGGCTGTGTCCTGCCAAGGTCACTTCATGCCTTTTGGGCTGCGTGTAGTTGAAGTGTCCCCTAAAATGACAGCAGTGTCTGAGAGAGAAGAAGTACACCTCCATGAAGATGAGAACACTTTGGCTAAGATGGGAAGTTTTTGGAAGACGCAGCCAGGTAGCATACAGAATAGACGATTCCGCTGTGGAAGCTTCAGAGAGTCAGCTCTGGAGAAGGGTCTCTCGGGCAGGGCTGGGCAGGGAAGCAGGCAGGTGAGACCTGGCATCTGGGGAGCTCTCGAGCACTGCTCTGAATCTGTCACAGGCCCCTTGCATGTGAGATGGGGTGGTGACTTAGTGGCTTCTGAGGCTTGTCCTGTCCCAGGGGACTGTTGTAAGTGGCATTAAGTATGCTGTGTATTCCAAGGGCAAATGCCAGTCCTGGAACCCTGAGCAGTCCTTCCCCACAGGGGAGATGGCTCAGTCCACACCTGGCTTTGAAGGCCTTGTGAGGCCAGCACAGAGGTTTCTTTCTCTTCCCTTCAGCTCTGTGGAAAGACACAGGGTGTAGGAAGGGGGGGAGGTCTTAAGAGCCGAGCAGGGTTGGGGTGGGGTCTGGGGCAGTGGAATTAGGGAGCGAGACTCCGGGCTGGAGTTGGCCCTTCTCTGTACTTTCTTGGTGCTAGGGACTAGCTGTCCATCCTCTTGAATTGAGCAGCTCTGTAAGCCTAGAGACATCACAAGGGGCCACACAGAACCAGTTAGGATTCAGCTAACCCGGCCTCTACTGATGCAGAGGTCAAGGCAGAAGTTGTTAACTTTTGGTGACTTACAGTAGCATGTTTTGCTACTGCAGAAGCCTGTGGTTGTCATGTGTCCTTGTGCTTTTGATTACAGCACCAGAAACCCAATTTCTTATCATTTTTGGCTACTGATAGTATAGCTCCCAGGACGCCAGCCCAGCCATGGTTAGTTAACCTGCTCAGGAACCAGTTCCCTTGAGAAAGGGCAGCATCGGGGTGTCAGGGAACTCCTTCCTGGCTCTGGGAGGCTCTGGGGTCAGACGCTGCACCTGGTTGCTGGGGCGGCTGGTGCTGGCCTCTGGGCTGGGCGCCTCATTCTTAGGTGAGGGTCCTGCAGGTGCCTGCGTCCTCACACCTCTCTGAGGAGGGTTTTGAGGGCTGTCTGATGGGCAGAGGCTGCCACTCACGTGCACCCTGCGGTGTGAGCCCAGGTGGAGTTCTGCTTCTGCTGATGGCACCGTTGCTGTCCCAGGGGCGAGCATCGTGTCACACTGAATGCAGGGTTATTGGTCTTGGTAATTTTGAAGCTCACTCCTTTCAGGCTTGCTGTCCACCCCAGATAGCAGCCCAGCAGCATTTTATTCTGGAGCGGCATCTGTCACCTGTGCATGGGGTTTGCACGTCCCTGTTACAGTACCGGTGCTTCTCTGCATTCTTGAAGGGACCGCCTTTTCTTTCCCAATATACGGAAACTCTGTTCTCTTTAGAACTACCGGAGCTTCACCTAAGAACGTTCTGTCTGAATTTCCAGTGCCACGGAAGTAGCAGCACCATGAACACGCCTCGCCGCCCATGGGAGTGGGCCTGGGGAGTCCAGGATGAAGCATGGGTGGAATGTCTCCGCGAGAGGTGGGCTCACAGCACGAGGCGGATTTCAAGCCGCACAGCCGGAGTCTGAGTCCAACCTAGATCTAACCGCTGTTGAAACCTTATGAGAACAGCTTCCCTGACATCTCGGTGGCTTCCGGGCAGGCCCCAAGGAACCCTCTGGTCAGTCTGCGACCAGCCACCCTTGGGGCTTGTGTGTGCTGCCGGGACAGACTTCAGGTCTGCTCTCGGGGTCCTGCCTGTAGCCCTGCTGCCCTGCAGTGGGCGGCTTGCCCTGTGGTGACCGTGACCCCTCATAGAAGGTAGCTTCCTGCTCAGCTTCCTGTGGAACTGTGGGCACATGTGGCACAGCAGGAGAGACGTGGCACAGCAGGGGGCATGTGGCATGGCAGAGGGGACATGTGGCACTGTGGGCACACTAGGTAGGACAGGGGGACGTGTGGCACTGTGGGCACATGTGGCACAGCAGGAGAGACGTGGCACAGCAGGGGGCATGTGGCATGGCAGAGGGGACATGTGGCACTGTGGGCACATGTAGCAGGACAGGGGGACACGTGGCACTGTAGGCACACGTGGCACAGCAGGAGACGTGGCACAGCAAGGGGGCATGTGGCTCCATGGGTACATGTGGCAGGTTAGGAGGGGACATGTGGCACAGCAGGAGGAGACATGGCACAGCAGAGGGGACACGGGGCACTGGGCACACATGGCGTGCAGAGGGGACATGTGCACTGGGCTTGTGGCATGACGGCAGGGACACGTGGCGTGGTGGTCACGTGGTGTGGCACAAAGCCGTGTGGTGGGTGTGGGTCTGTTGCCCCGAGGCCCTGCCTTCCCTTGGTTAGTAGTGACTGAGCCCACGTGGCCTGGACCTGCTGGGGTTTGCTGGACTCCGCTGGCCGAGTGAGAGTCCAGGACAGGGCGGTGCTGGCCCCACGTGCCTCTCACGTCCCCGGGCGAGTTGGCCTGGTGATCTGCTGGTCCTGCTGCCATGGGAGGAGCAGTCACGCTGCATACAGGATCTGGCTGTTGGTGAGCTCATCCTCGAGTGCTTGGGGCAGACCTGCAGGACATGGGGACATGCCCCTCGCCGTGAGGTGGACCATTCAGCAGTTTCCCTGCTGGTCTGACCCTGCCCCAACCCTGGGCGACCGATGTCTGCCCCGGCTGCCTTTTCCGTGCCCTGGTGGTCCTGGGGCTGCTGTGTGGCAAGCTGCCTTGGTGGCTCAAGTGGCTTGGGGTGCTCTGGGGTGTGGACGTGGCGCGTCTTGCTTCCACTCCTTTGCAGGTGCAGGTGCCGCAGCTCTGATGTGGGCAGAGTGTCCTGTGTAGACATGTGCCTCCCTCCCAGGGCGGGTCCCCGGGGCTCCGGAAGAGCTTGGAGGGGGTTTGGCACCGCCTTCCTCTGTGCTACTAGTGCAGTAGGGACGCTCCTGAGGCTGGACTTTGACGTGCCCCATTGCCTCCGGGGCCTGGGTGGCCTCTCGCGGAGCAGAGCTTGTGGGCCTCATGAGGTGGCTGCCTGCGCCCGGCGTGAGCGAGGGGCCTCAGCAGAGGGGCCTCTCCAGGGTCTGTTTTCTCCTGGCTCACAGAGCAGCCGTGAAGCGCTGTGGGTCTGTTGGGACCACAGCACCTGCAGAGCCACCGCACACTTAACTTTTGGCCCAGCAGTTCTGCTCTAGGAGCCTGCCCCAAAGACACCTCCAGCGGGCTGCAGGGACGTGGGCGCCACCCAGATGCTTACCTGCAGGACAGGGTTGCAGCTCCAGAATGAGGACCACTCGGGACCGGCTCTGGGCTAGAACAGGGCAAGAGACGGAGAGCATCTGGAGTACTGCCTTCGTGTGGGAGGAGGTGGGATGCGAGTGAGGACAGACTGGCACACAGAGCCCGGGCATGGCCAGATGGGTGTGGGGAGGCCCGGCCAGGGAAGGCCCAGCTCAGGGGGTGGCATCATACTCCTGAGTTCTCCTGTCTAGCCCCAGGCTTACAACCATGGGCCCTTCACATATCCCAGGGAGTAGAGGGTGACCATTGGTCGATACGCAGCCCCAGGTGGGAAAGAAATGGCCAGCACCCTCGGCAGGGTGGGGGAGGAGCCCTCGCCCTCCTGACCGGCTTCTCAGGGCCAAGGCTAAGGCAGGAGGGAAGTGCTCCTGTGGGATTCTGCTCCCAGGGCTCAGGTCCCTGTGGGAAGCTGCTTGCGCATTGGAGGTCTCCCTGCCCCAGGATGGAGGGCTGGAGGGGGTGAGTGGTCGGGTGCTTTGTGACCCCAGGGTCTTCCGCAGGCGTCCATGTCCCTATGCGTGTCTCCTCGTGTCCATCTGGGAGGCCTGGGAGCAGAGAGCCCAGCAGCAGGAAAACAAGGGTGCTGTCAGCTCCCGCGAGCCTGAAATTCCAAAATAAAGAAACAAGCCCACAGTGGGACCCCCGGGAGCACAGCCTCGGGCCAGGGGCAGGCAGGGCCCGCCTCCCTCTGCCCACCCAGGGAGGACGGCTCTTCCTGGCAATGCCCTGCCTCTCCAGCTCCAGGCTCCAGGGCGTAGCACCTGGAGGTCCCTGCACACCTGAGGCAGTGCCGTCTGGAGAAGGCCCCGGGGCAGGTGCCGGCCCTGCCCAGGACACCAGAGGGGCCCTGCAGGTTCTGCTCCTTCAGTTTTCTGGCTTAGCTCTTTGGCCTTGGGATTTGTTTTCAGTCTTCCCAGGAGAGGCTCTGGACCTCCACGTGGGCGGTGTCTCTTCTGTTCCGTCCTGTGTTCCAGAGGAGCTCTCCACCTCGCGGTCCTGCTCTCCTTTCTCCTACACGGTCCGCGTTTGCTCTCCAGTTAGCCGACTGACCTGTGTGGAGTTGACCTTGTGTGGCTTGAGGTCGGCTGGAGCGGCCTTGTCGTGGGACAGCCTGCTTTGTCCCACTCCAGGGTCCCTCCGAGGAGCTTGCTGTGGCCATCGGAGCTGTTGCTCGGTCCCGTGGCTGCTGGAGAGAGGACCCTGTGGTGGCCTCTTCCTCCCCGACCTTGGTGCTTTTCCTCCCCATCGGTGCCCAGCGTCTCTGGTGTCCGGTGGGCTGTGAGGTCTGGACAGTGGCATGGCAGCAGCTTCGTCTGTCCTTGACCTTGGGCGCCTCAGGCTGACGTGGCCCTCACCCCAGTCTTCATCTGGAGCAGCTCCCTGCTCCCTTCTCTCCCTGGCTGGCCATGGACAGTAGGAGCACTGACTGCGTGGCGCTCTCTGCCTCCGCGAGATGGCCGTGGGCCCACCTTCACTCTGCGAGTGCAGCGCCTTTCCTAGTAGATTCCCCATGTTGAACATTAACACTGCAAAATGGCATTCTCCCCGTGATACCTTCTCCTTCAAAACGAGTCTCCCACTCCGCAGCCTCTCGTCCCTTGAGGTGCGTTGGCAGGCTGTGAGATGTGGTGTAAATGCCCCACACCCGGCCCCTGGGGAGGTGGGGAGCCCTGAATTGCAGCGTTTGCTAGTTCCCGGGGTGTCATGGTCCTGTGTTCTGTTTCCGTTGGCTGGTTGACGAGGTTCCTGAAGGTGCAGCCTCTCCTTAGGTGAGAGGTTGGAGCTGGTACCTGGGCACTGCCGCCCCGAGCATGCATCTGATGGCTCTTCTGCTCCTGCATTTCTGGTGGCCACTGGGACCCTCGTTGTCCATGCGTCGGTGGGCACCAGCCCTGGTGCTGGCCTGTCCCAGGTTGTGCCGTTAGAGCCTCACAGTTCCCCTGAACTGCCGTGGTGCCTCCTCCCTGGGGGCGGAAGAGCGTCTGTGTTGTGCCTCCTGAGGGCCGAGCAGGCACCCGGGTGTGCTGTGTGTGCTGCTGGCCCAGCCTGAGGTGCGTGGTCCTGTCCCGGCTGCTCCTGCAGTGGGTGAGCAGTCTTCTGAGCGCCTGCTGTGTATCAGGCCCTCTGGGTGCCAGGAGTGGTGTCGGTAGCACTGGCTCCCTGGGGGAGTGCCATCCTGAAGTGCGTGGACTTTGGCTGGGGCCCACTGGACCATCCTTCCCAGTCTTCTGCCCACTCCGACATCCGCTGTCTTTGCCCCAGGTAGCCTCCTATACCACCCACCAGCCAGGTGCCCCAGCTGTCCAGGTTCACAGCTCAGGGTTGGTGCGTGTTGCTGTGTAGGCCAGCTCCTCTGTGATGTGTCTGCCCTCGCTGGGCCCTTAGAGGAGCAGGCCACGCCCTTGACCCTGATGGTTTTTACTTCAGGACAGGTTAGTGCTTACAGGGTGGTGAGGGCATGGTAACTAGAAAAGGTTGGTGAAATGGCCCTTCTTAGGGGTGTGAACTGTCGTGCCAAGTGGGCAGAGTGGCCTGGTCTGTTGCTGCCTAGAGGGGCAGTGGGTGTACTGGTGGCACTTTCCCAGCTTCCTCTTGGGACTGTGCATTTTGGCACCTGGTGGCTCCAAAGGGCCAGAGCCTGGTCACCAGCCTGCCTGCAGCATGGTCAGTGTCTCTGGTATGGTGGTCCTGGTGGCTGCAGGAGTGGACGTGTGCAGATCGCAGCATGCTGGGCTGGAGTTTGGATGCAGGCCAGTGGCCTTCCAAGGCCCATCTGCTCGACTTTCTGCCACACTGATCTGGGTTTCTGCTGTTTTGATCCTTTGCAGAATTGCTTTGTCTTTAATTGAAGCATCAGTATTTTACTCCCATAAGGGAAGATGGCTGTTTCTTCTTCTCTGCTTAGTAGAGACCAGTGTTCCCCATCCTGCGCTCCTGCAGGGTGTGGAGGGACAGCTGGACCTTGCGAAGCCTGGAGCTGAGGGGCGCGGGCCCTGGAGCAGGCTGAGCCCAGCAGCCGTTCCCTCTCCTCCTCCCGCCCTCTCTGAAGGGGAGCTCTTGGGCCACCTCTCCTCCACTGCATGCCCCTGGATGGTGAGAGGGACGAGGCGTGGGCATGGACGTAGAGCTGTTTGTCTGTATTCGTGACATCTGGGAAGCCGATCTTGGGAGGTCCAGTCCAGGAGCAGCTCCTGGCCTGAGGTGGAGCCTGTGGTCACCCTAACCCGGATCCCAGTGCCACCTGCGAGGCCTGTCTCTTCTTCGCGGTGCGCTGGTCTGTGCCCTGACAGGCGCCTCTCCGGCCTCCCTCCCCACAGCAGCCCAGTTCCAGACCCGGGTTCTGGGAGCCTGAGCCTCCTGTTCCACACAGGAGCCACCTGTCCCCACACCTTCCTTCCCTGGGTCCTGGCTAGGGGAGCTGGCGTCACCTGGTTGCCGTCTGTCACCACCGAGGCTTTGGATGCGTCTGGGTCCTCCCTGTGTTTACTGCGGCATGATGAGAACCAGGAAGCCCAGGCTGCAAAATAAGCTCTTGGCCGCGGCCTCCGAGGAAGGAAGCAGCCCAGCCCTGCCACCACGCTGGCCCTCCCTCCGGATCACCGCCCTCCCTGGAACTAGCCCCGGCGGGCGGCACCCCAAAACTGCAGCTGCTCAGTGCATGTCCTGAGTGTCCTTCCTCCACGTCCTGGGGTGGCCCCAAGTCTCGGGAGGAGGATGTGGCAGGCCCAGATGGGCAGAGGGCTTCTGTGGTCCCGGCTGGCTGCCCCCGCGGGCTTCCAGGACACCTGCGTGCCCACTGACACTGTGTTTCTCTGCTGCCTCTTGCCTGCCGTTCTATGGTCTGGATCTAGGTTTGTCCTGTCTGGTGAAGGTTCAGGGATTAGAAAGTTCTGGAACTTCTGAGACCTGCTGCCTCATGTGTGTGGCCTGTTGGCTGGGCCTCCCCCCCTGCTCTGCTCTCCTCTGGGGAAGAGGCCACAGCTCAGTGTCCGGGCTGGTGGCTGCCCACTGCTGGGGCCAGGGCTCGTCCGCACCCTAAGGTGGTGTCCAGGCTGGGTCTCTTGTGTTCTGCACACCTCGATTCTGCCCTTGGAAGCACCTCAGGGTGAGGCTTGGTGACCCTGTGGGCACTGAGTGGATGTCACTTGATAAGATCAAGGTGCCTGTGGCCACCTACCTTGCCCACCTGGTCGTCACCAGTGGTTTGTTAGTCACTGCTTGAGGTCATCCTCAACTTGGGACACGTCTGATTGCGCATGTGGCTGTCACGTGACTTTAAAAGGTGGCTTCTTGTTGTGTGTACTGTGTATGTTGTGATATGACAAGGTACATAGCTTACATATACAGTGAATATACACGTTGTATTTTCTTTCACGAATGGCTTTCTGGTGATTTTGTATTGAACAAGCGAGACCTTTGAGGAATAAAGTAGGCCCTTTTATTTGCTCAGAAGTATCCAGAAGCATTTTAAAAAATTTCTTTTGTAGCTGTAGATGGAGAGCTTGCCTTTATTTTTATGAGGTGCTGAGGATTGGCCCAGTGCCCCACCTGCCAGGCAGGTGTGGGGCTAAGCCACAGCCCGCCGGGAGCTCTCTGTACAGTCCTGCGGGCTGTGCACCCCGGCCGTGTTCCGGTGGGTGCTGAGCCTTCTTAGGGTCAATGTTGGTGGCGTCCTTCTCTGAGTGTACTGTGGCCTCTTGAGGTTGGGAGCGAGGTCCACTCTGATTAGTACCCTCACCTGCACGAAAAATAAAGCCTTTCTGCCCGTCTACAACTACAAAAAAAAAAAAAAAAAAAAAAAAAAGCTTGGGGTCATTGGCTCTCCCTTTCTGTGCTGTCCCCCAGCCAGCCCCAGTTCCCTGGGTGGAGACAGACTCGGAGGTGTGGAGAGGTCACCATGTGCAGGTTGTGGGGCTGCTGTTGGAGGTGGGGATGGTGGGGTTGGAGACATGCTTGCAGGGGTGTGTGGGAGCCTGGTCAGGCCTGTCCACAGGGTGGAAAGTGGCACCTGTGGTGGACAGGGCTCAGGCCTGCCTCGGGCCTTCTTCTGTTCTTCCCTCTCCAGACCCCAATTCACCTTTCCTCCCTGTTAGGGTCTGTGAACAAGTCAGGATGGCGCCTGGCATTTTGCCAGAGGGAGTGGTTGGTGAAGTAACGCCAGCGAGCCATTAAGTGTGGAGATTCCTTATTGGTTGACTGCTGTATCTAGTTTATGCTAATTAAGATGAGCTGGGTGGAATGTATATCTACCCCTCCTGTCCTACATTAAACGGCTCCCACTCCTGCTGTATCAGCCTACACAAGTTGCTCGTCACCCCCCGGTTATTTTGCTGCAGCCGGACTGCGGCACCTCCCTTCATGATAGAGGTTCTTAAATGTCCGGACGTCTAGCTGGCCAACGGTCTGACTATTCACCACACATGGAAACATAAAGAGCACACGCAGGTTGTGTGGGTCACGGTCCTGGCTCTCTGGAGCCTGCTCTAGACGGGGGCTGTGGGTGCACTGTCCAGTGGGATGGGAGGAGGATGGAGGAGACACTGGCATGGTCCAGCAGTGCTTTGCTGGCCCAAGTCAAGACAGCAAATGCTTTTCCCAGAGGGGAGCAGGAGGGCTGGAGAGGTGCCACAGGGGACCTGGGAAAGGGATGGCGGCCACTCTGCTGGCTCTGCCTGGGAACATCCTGCCTTCCCACACCACCTGATCATTTTGTGACTTTGGTCTCTTTTGATTCCCGAGGTGGAGTTGCAGGCACCCAAGTCCTAAACCCAGCTGGAAGGACGTCCTCTCTCCCTCCATCTCTCGGGAGGCCAGAGGTTCCCGCTCAGCCTGGGGATCTTCTTTCCTGAGGGGGGCGTTTCCCTTGAGGGGGGCGTTTCCCTTGCGTATTTCCCTTGGTGCAGTCCGGTGGCTGTGGCCAGGCTGGGTGGCCAGGCTGGGCAGCAGGGCAGGCAGCGCCCCAGCCGAGGATGGGCGGCAGGACCAGCACGGACATCAGGACGAGCAGGCTGGCCACGGGATGCTGGCCTCCGGTGCGGAGCTCCTTGCCCGGTGGTGGCAGGTCTGCAGACCAGCCACCGCCTAGGGTGAGGGCGGGTGTGGTCTTTGTGGACCGGGGTCCGCAGTGGGTCTGCACGGGCAGCAGCAGCAGGGTCAGCACCAGTGCCAGTGCAGGCCAGGCCAGCATGACCCTGCGCTCGGCCATCTCCTGTCCTCTACTGGTACCCGACTTGACTTGGCTGCTGCTGGGAGTGACTAGTCCGGGAAGTCCCGTGATCCTCTTGGGGTTCTGTCCAGCGAGGTCCGGCAGCTGTACCCCAGCCCGAACCCTGCCTGTGGAGGGTAACGGCCCAGGATTGCATGCGGCTGGAGCCAGCTGCACCCTCTGCCGGCGCCTGGTCGCCTGCAAGGGCCGCCCTGCCCCGCCCCGCCCTGCTGCTGCCTTCCTCACCCCTCCTGCAGCCCGCAGCCCTGTGGCTTCCTGGTCTTCCCCACAGCGCTACCCTGCAGCCCCGAGGCAGCCTGCTCCTGCCCCCACCTCCCATGGCCCTCTGCGCCCCGGGCTATCCAGTCCCTGGAGCACGGCAGCCTGGACCTCCTGCCCCAGTGGCAGACCCCTGGGTCCTCCCCGCCCGCCCTGTCTGTTCCTGGACCTCTGATCCTCCTTCCCTGCCCATGGCTGCCTGGTCCTCAACAGCCTGTCCTGCCTGCAGCAGCCTGGTCCTCCCCGCTGGCCTGCCCAACCTCTCACTACTCCCTCCGGTCCTCCCCACACTACCCAGCAGCCACCTCCCTCATCCCCCAGGGAATCCACTCCCCCCCACCGTCCCACCCTGCCCAGGGGTCTGGTCCACGTGTGGTTAAAGCCTTCTCTAGAGCCGTGCCCAGCGCCCTGGCCTCACCACTCTTTGAGGAGTAACCAGGACCTTTCCTGTGGCCTTGCTGATGTGTGCTGGTGCTCCCTCTGCTGGAGGGCCAAGGAGCCTGCCTTCTGGCTGGCAGCCCTCACTGGCTCTGGACTGTGGGGCCAGTTCCTGTTCAGAGCTTGAAGGTTTCTCCCCAGGCGCGGGCTCTTCTCTGATAGTGACTGGGCATTGGGTTCCTCCAGTGCTGCGCATGTTGCAAGCCTGTCTTGTGGCCACGAGGTGGAGAGTGCCACAGACCGCAGCCCTGGGGAGAGAGAGTATCAGTAGTGGACCTGCTCTTGGCAGGCAGGGCCTGTGCCACAGTGAGCGTGTCTTGCGTAAATCAGAGCCTTCAGTGTCATCTTGTTACCGCTGTTGACCGGTGACCAGTCCTGGCTTCCCCAATGTTGAAGAATCACACCAGAGAAGCACGCCGAGGCAAGGTCAGAGTGGAAAATTAGAAGTTTATTAAAGGACAGCAGAAAAGACTTCTCCCGGAGGAAGAAGGGGACCCAAGAGGTGGAATCCGTGGAAGGGCAAACGTTCCCCTTTTTATAGTTTTTTGGTGATGGAATGCAGGTGGGAAGGGTTGGGACACAGGTGGGCCAAACAAGTAATCTGGGCACTTCCGAGTTAAGTTTGCTGTTCATTAACATTTCTTTGGGATGGGCTGTCTTCAAGTCTGTTGGGGCTGTTTCCTGGGCTTCATTAACATTCCGAGAGTTGCTCAGCGTTTCCGGAAATCCATTCTCAGCATGGCCTCCATTTTAGATCTCACTCCCTATTAGTCCCAACTGACCTAACTACACTGACTACCTAACTTTAAATCTGGCTTCAGTCTCCTCCCTTGTAAGTCGTCTCTGCTGTTACCCACACAGCACGTGAGACAAGTTTTGATGTCTTGGAGAGAATTGTGAAGGCAGTTCAGGCTCTTCCCAGTCCCACTCCCTGTAACAGACCCACCCAGTCCATGTCCGGGGGAGGTCATTTCCTCAGAACATTTGGGGGGCTGTTAAAAGGAAGGGGATGAGTCCAAGGTAGCACAAAGGTGCTGAGTACCTACATACTCCATATAAAGGATCTGGGCTCCTTGGAGACACACCTGTGCCAAGTCTGGACGGGAAACACGGGGAGCCCATGCCTGCCAGTGAGAGTGCTCAGAAGCACCCCATGGCTCACTGCTGGCCCAGCCCCCAGACCTGTCTAACATGGGCAGCCTCCTTCCTGGCCGGCTCCTTTGTGGGACCTGCTGCACGGGCAGACTCCCAAGTCCACGCTGCTCAAGCCCTTGGCCATGGACAGCACCTCACCCTTCATGGAAGTGCCTGTGACCCCAATGTACCCCATAAACCCAAGCTGACCACCAGAGACACTCAGGGCCACCCCAGGCCATCCGAGGCTGTGTGGCCAAGGCCGTGCAAGGCAACTTGGGACGTATGGGGGTCAGGGGAAGGATGGGCCCTACTGGTAGAAACAGAGGTGTGGGTACAGACGGGGGGGGGGGGACTGGGGGCTTGTCAGGAGGGGCCGCAGAGGTTTCAGATGTCATTCCTGTTGTACAGGTGGCAGCTCTTGTGAGGTCCGGTGTCTGTCTTGGTGGAGTCAGACAGATGTGGTGTTGCAGGGGACACTGAAGGGGACACCTAGAGCAGGGTGTGCCAAGTGGCCAGGAG